TAAGAGAAACAGTTTGGATGATTGAAGAGCAAATAAACAATATGGGTTAAGAAATAAATTGTAGCTTGAAGTAATTTAAAATCTATAATTTATTATATTATTATTGTTTTAATGTTTTAAATCGCATAACAGGGTGTTATCGTCACTGTAGACTGTCACAAAATTTTTATTTTTACCATTCTATACTAAAAATCTTCAATTCGTTTTTAATCTGATAGGAATATAGAATAAAGAGTTAATTATTCTATAAATAAATAAATTATTTTAAATCATCTATGAAGAATTTTTTTTAAATATGTATGTTAGAATATTCAACCTACCTTGTGAAATGAATTGCTGGTATATGAGGTCTTCTTTTCAAATTATTGTAAGAAACTAAAAAATATACAATTCTGTATATTTTTTTTTTCTCACTACTGAAGCTTTTTATTAGTACAGACTAGAAAAAAAATCTGGTGCGCGCAACACACAACTTTCACTAACCGTTCAACTTTGAATAGAAATTATTTTCTGGCCATGTTGGGCATTTGAATTGCATTTTTAACCGAGCTAAAGCTAGAAGCATACAGCTAACAAATCATAAATACCATTAAATTAAAAAAAGGCCTATTTATTAAATTACAGGTTGATTATGGATTGTACGATCCGCTGATTATGGATTGCACGATCCGTTAAGTATGGATTGTGCGATTATTAGTTATTAAACCGTTCATTTCCATTGCGAAGTTTACTAAAATGGAATTAACGGATTTGCATTGTCTGTCATAGACAGGTCAAAAATTGTCACACTAATTGTAAGTGAATACTGTTGGAATATCACAAACGGAAAACTAATCAAATTATTCACTAATTTAATTTTCTATAAGGTTATTTGATAATTTTTCGGAATAAAGGGACGATAGATACCTAATCATTTAAATATGATATCAGATCTAGAGTTATTAAACTACAGTAAATATATTTAAGATTATAAACATATCCATGAAATATTTTTATAATTCACTTCTTTTTTCACATAAGTACAATGAAATAGTTTTTCAAACAATGTCATTGCCTTGATCAGGTGGATTTTAAATACGTTTTTCAAAATTTAAAAAAAAGTTTAAGTTTACATTTAGTTAGTAAATTTCATTTAATTTCCTTGAAAACATGTGATTTACTTTAAATAAAATTAATTTTCAAAAATTATTATTTATAATAGTTTCGCCAATCTCCGTAACCTTCTTCAACTTTCTATATTAGATAATGTTTTTTTTCAAAATTCTCCAGTTTCCAACGATATATTATACGTATCCTTCTGACTAGTATTTCCGGAGATTCGTGTTCGAGCTGGATAAGCATTTTTATTATTTTCTCCTTTATTGAATTATCAAATTCTTTCAAAAGTTATATTTAGGATTGTTTCGTAACTCTTAATAATGTGAGATAGTTAATTATTTAAAATAGACTATATTAAAGGTACTTTAGAGGAAGACGTATATAAACATTGTGCATTTAAGTTCTGTAAAGTGACATCAATGGAGATAAGACTAAATTGATATTAAAGACCACTTAATTATACAATGATACACCTAGTTTAATCAAAATAGTTTGAGACGTTTTCAAGAAAATTGTAAAAATGTGTTTCACCGTTGATATAAAGCGGCACTTCCGGTTAATCGATTTTTACGAAAATTTGCTGTGACATAAAAGGTATATAAAAACCTTAAATATGAAATTTCGCTTTCCTACTACTTTTCGTTTATGAGCTAGACTGTTCATATTCACACACACACACACCATTTTTCGGGACTTGGTTATTTGGACCCAGAAGACCTCAAAACGTGTATTTCCGTTGAAAACTCAAGAGTCGAAAATTTCAACGAATGCGATACTGCCCCTTGGTAGCTCAGTGGTAGGGCACTGAGCTTCCAATACAAAAGTCCCGAGTTCGAAACCCGGCTCATGGCAGAAAATTTATTTATCTCTTTCATTGGCCGTGGGGCGACCTTGGGTCAGAAGTCCCTCCTGGGGCACACCCAGCCTCTATAAAGAGGGTACCCTTAATTAAAAATAATTAATTAAGGGGGAAAACCTGGCTGTTGAGCGTGATTTCGGTCAAATCACCTCCTTGCACAACCGTTGACCTAGAAACAGTGCTTTCCCTAAATAGTACTGAACCCCAGACCCTTCATGGGTTGTAGTTGTACAGGTTTTTTTTTTGCAATACTGCCCCTTACTATGTATTTCATGTATAGGTAAGTGAAAGTAAAAAGTGTACCCAGAATCGAAAATTTCAACTCGCATTTTAGGTTTTGGACATGTAGGAACAAATTTGGAAATTATCTGATGGTCTGTAATCAAATCCATGGAACGTGTATATCACCTACTTCCATTAATCCGATTATGATGAAATTTACAGGGCATGGTGCGGATTGGTACCCACATTAAAACTTTAAAAATTTTTAAATGAGTTTTACACTACAAAAATTTTGTAGAATCGTTTCTTCTTCAGAAAAATATTTCAATTAGTGATATGACTTCAGTTCTTATTCTTAATTTTGAAATTCGTTCTTCAAGTTCAATCCAGACTTCATCGAAAAATCTGAATATAAAATTCCTTTTCATAACAAAAGGCTGAATCTGTGCCGAATAGTCCCAAAAATTATATAAATTGTATCCTATCATAATATTTCGTGATACAGACCCTTTTTGTTAAATTATTAACATACGCCTGAAACTTCGTGAATAGCTTCATCTCATCGTAACCTACAACTATTATATTTACGAAAACTCTTGAAAATGGAGCGTTTCCAATCTTGAGGTCAGCAAACTTTATCTATTTAATTAGGTACAAAAAAACTCGTATATATCCATTTGATTTCCACTTCAATCGTATGATAATTATATCAAAAAATCTAGAAAAAAAGTGGCCTACAAAAATAACGGGCCGTTTGACCTATACAACCTCGTTATTTCCACATTTTAGGGATGTAGGTCACGCCAAACAGTTCAGTGTTTTTGAAGGTCACCTTTTTTTCTCGAGTTAGTGCTCAAATTATCTTATAATTTAAGTGAAAAGCAAATGGGTATTTACGAGTTTTTAGTACCTAATTAAATAGACAAAAGTTTGAAGATCTCCAGATTGAAAACGCCCCAATTCCGAGAATTTTCGTAAAGAAAATAGTTGTAGGTTACGATGAAATGAAGCTATTTATAAAGTTTCAGGCGGGTGTTAATAATTTGACAAAAAGGGAACTGTACAACAGACTATAGTTCCTAAATCAGCTGGAAAAACAATAGGTATTATTGTTATATTTTTAAACCTTAGTATGTTGTAAATAATTTAAATTTAAATTATTATTATTTTATTTATTTATTTTTTGTTTTAAATCTACGAAGAAGGAAAATATTCGACGAATACACTTTCTAAACATTTTTGACTGTCTTTGACCTGTTTAGTTCATCTGTCTTTGCCTGTAGTTCAGTACCTGACCTTGGGTATGTGTATGAACCTTTGTGTTCCTACTTGTTGTTTTGAAGAAGGAAAATGACTCGATGCGACAGCACTTTTAAAGTAAAAAATTCTCTATAACCAATGAGGGTGTCATTACGAGCGTTTTGGAGAAAAGAATATAAACTTACCTTAGCGAATTGTTTGCAAACGATTCAGAATGATAATTTAATCATGTTGCAGAATACTCTGGAACCAACTGAATCGAAAAGAATTTTTAATGTAGAGCAGTACTTCGATTAATCGTCACCGCCGTGACCAAGGACGCGACTGTTGAGCGAACAGGCGGATAAAAGAAATACCATCTTTATACACTATAAAGAAAAATCTTTAGAAAAATACCTTAAGCTAAATACAACAAGTAATTGGCTAGATTTAAGTATCAACATAAATAAAACATGTTTTTTCATAAATAACAACAAAAAATTGAAAGTTGAAACAGAACATGTACAAGAAAATTACTTTAAAAACTTCATTAATGTTTTTGGAATAAAAATACCTACAGTATACGCGCTACAGTAAAACGTTTGTTTTCAACAAACCTCGCTCCTATAGTTAAAATGCCTTCGGGCAGTAATAGTGATGTAGCACAAAGTATTATTGTTAGCGATATATATATATATTGTAAATAGTATATAAATAAATGATTGAAGGTTGGAAAAAATAAAATACGTGTTTTAAACCAACTTGTTTACAAATTACTATAAGCTTTATCCTTGCTTAAAATGGTCCAATTTCGATGATTTTTTTTCTCGTTTTTTTTTTTTTCAGGAATTTAGTAACCATTCCAATAATCATGGATGCAATCAACGATAAAATGAATACTCTTTGAGTCATTCGCAAATAAATTTTCTTTTCTTTAATTTTTTTTTTCTATTATTTCTACCTGAAGGAGAATAAAATCTTCAAAATGAGGGCTCGGATCAATGGATTTGATGAAGACGACGATAAAAACCACATTTAAGAAATGGTATATAAAGATTTAAGTATTATTTAACTTATAAAATTGCTATTGAGCTTTTTTATAATCGGTCATAATATTTTGTTTTTGTTGAGCATGAGCTTTCAACGCGGCACTATTACGAATCAAGCGATAAACTCGAGTTCGGATTGCATTCTTAATCTCCAGGGAAGGGGTGTTGGCGCCTATTTGTATTTCTTTTAAATATATTAGTTTATTAATTTCTTATAAACCATTATTGTACTATGGATAACAAAAACGAATGGCGTAATTCAAAGTTTTTTTTTTTTTAGTAATGTGTAATTATTTATTTATTTTCTAATTAATCGGGGTAAACAAATAAATAGCGAGTCAAATTTTTAGAAAGCCGTCAGAAGACCCATGACTCAATGAGTAAAAATAAGAGAAGGGAAGAGAGAAAATGTAAATAAAAATACTGAGTAGAAGTAAGGAGGAGGGGGTGACATTTGGAAATGTAATTTGGGCGGGTGGGGTGGAGGGGGAGAAGGAGGTGGTGGGGGGTAGCGTATTGAGCATCAATCGGCCCGCGGGTTCGGCAGTCGGCTCTCTGTGCGCAAGAGCGCTCTATGTCCTATCAGTCTCTCTCTGTGCCGCTCTCTCTTTCTCTCTCACTCTCTCCCTTCTTCTCTCGCTCTCTCTCTCTCTCTCTCCCACTCCTACCACTCGTCAGGAGGGGGATAGCATGGTCGTCTCGAGTCAGCCGCGGTCCATCTCGAGATCAGTGTCCGCTCTTGTTGTTAAGCGGTTACTTTAACCCGTCTGTGATTGAATAAAGAACATTTGTGTGATATTGTACATATTGAGGACTGTTCACAGTGGGCGGCAGTGAAATGTGAGTAATAGTTATTGACAGCCGATAGTTTTCTGATAAGGTTCCCCTTAGGGGCGGCCTGTAGTGATAGTCACCCTCTCCCAACTACCCCTTTGCTTCAATCAACTACTGCTGCGTATGTCCTTACTCTACAATAGTGATAACTATCTTACGAATGCAGAAAACCATGATTAATCTTCGATAATTTTTAGTAGTTTCCGCTGACACATAGCCGATAGTTTTACATTAAGTGATCAACCCTTAATTAAAACAATGTTATCATATATTTTTTTTAAATTTAACATGACCACTCTATACGAAAATGTTTAATATTTTTAATCTGTATTTCATTAGAAGTTTCATTTCCAAGAATACTTATCAATACCTACACTTACACAATGAGTAAAAAAATATATATTACATTAAAAAATAAATTTATTATTTTTTCTTGAATTTTCTTAGAAGGCCTCTTTAAAAAAAAAAAAAAATTGTTGAAATTGTTTATAAGTATTACACCATTATTGAAACAATATAAAAATAAATAAACATTTTTTTGCTATAATAATTTTGATTTAAAATTTTCTTATCCTCTTTTTTTGTTTCTTCTTTAACAATTTTTTTCCTCCTTGAATTTATAATTTTTTTTTTATAGTAATCAAATTTATTCTGTGGGAGTTATTTATGCTTCCATAAATTGGCAACTATTCAGCAATTTAATATTGGTGTTACAGCAAAAATGAGATTCTATTTAGTGAACTTTGACCACCCTTTGGTATTGAATTATTTCATTTTTGGTACTTTTTATCCCCCATTTTTATATTTAAAAATATTGCTTGACCCTTAAAAATAATATTATTTAAAGAAACTTTCAGTATAAAATTTAATGAAATTTTTATACCCCATAGATGGTAGGAGATCCAATGATTTTAATTTTTTTTTTTTTTTCGTTTTTCAGAAAATGGTTATTATAAAATTTCCATTTCTACTGAAAGCATCAAAGAATCACAGAAGACATCAAGATTGCCTGGAATGATGAATTCTACGAACTGCACGTGATAGTATTTATTTTTGTTTGGCATACTACACATTTAGTAAGCTGTTTAGTGAAACTATTTTTGTTGAGAATTATTTCAATTGAGTGTTTCCTTGAGTGTAAAGTGCAGTGATGGGTGGGCTTGGTGGATCAGAACAGCAATATTCCCTCCGTTGGAATGATTTCCATTCAAGTATTCTGTCTTCATTCAGGCATCTGCGAGATCAAGAAGATTTTGTTGATGTGACACTTGCCTGCGATGGCTGTTCCTTTACTGCCCATAAAGTTGTGTTATCAGCTTGCAGTCCTTATTTTCGCACATTGCTCAAGGTAAACATCTTTTTATTCTATTTAATTAATTAATTTTAATGATATCCAAATTACTATTCAATATTACTATCCCCTGTAATTTTAACCGAATCTTTGTATAAAAAAAAATTATTTAAATCGCAGATTTATTTAATGTTGTGTTGTTAATTTCATATAGTGTTCAAATAATACAATAATAAATTTCACTGTGTAAGATCATAATCAGAGAGGTGCACTATATTACCATGTATTTATAATCATTTACCATGAATTTATAACCATTTTTTAAATTTAATTTTCAAACTTTTTTTTAAGTTCAGTAACATACTTTAAAACCATACATCATGATTAATATTTATCACATTATATGGTCATTTATCATGCTGTAATAAAGTCTATCTTGGTAAAATTTACAATTTATTATATCAGTTAAGATCCAAAAATTTCATTTGACAGATTCCCTCTTAAGGTTTATATGACGTAGAGATTTTTTTTTTCTCCTGTGGAAATTAGTTTCTTTCAAAATAAACATAAAATTTTATTAATATACTTTAAAATATTCCATATTTTATTAATTGCAATATGAACATTAAAGAGAAGGGCTATTTGTTACATTTCTATGTATATTTTTTTTGTTCTTATAAATCAAATTAGTGCATAATATGATGGTAATATTTGAAATGTCTTATTGTGTTCCTTCCAATTTCAACATGCTTCATTATTCATTGTTTCTGTTTATGAAATCTATTACACAACTGTGTAATTTTTTAAGCTATTCTAAAACATTACTTAACTTAAAATATAATAATATTTAATGAGAATTCTGCCCTAAATAAAGTATAAAAACTAAAAATTTTATTTAAACAATCTTGTACCACAATTTTTATTTTAAATATTTTCTATTAAAAGGAAAGGAACATTTTTGCATTTAAGATTTGTATTTGAAAGATAAAATTTCATTTAAAAAATTTGCATAATTTAATAATTCCATTATATAAAATATTTTTTAATATTATAATTAAGTCTGGAAGAAATGAGTTTTGTTTTATAATTTTATGGAATTTTAATTATTTTTTAGTTCAGTATTCTTAAAATAGTATTTTTTTTTTTCTTTTTTCTAAAATATAAATTTGTTAGTCTGTTAGAATTCAATTAAAAAAATATTTTGAAATGTGAAAAACTATTAGACTTGATTTAAATATATATATAAATTATAAGAAATTATTATTATTTTTTTTTTGGAAACATTATTCTAATTATTTTCATTTTTACTCTATTGGTTTTCATAATAATAGGACTCATAATTCATAAATCATATAATAGTTTTATTATTGTGTATCATCATTATATATATTTTTTTTAAAAATATGTTTGATACATTAAATTAAAAACTCAAATACTCATATTGCCATAAAATGTATTACAAGTATTTTTCTGTGAATCTTACTTAACTCAATTTCTATAAATTTTAATTTTGAAAGGAATGATTTATAATAAACATTTTTGTGTCTTAAAATATACAATTGTATTTTACCAGTTTTAGTAAATTATGAAATATTTTTTGTATAGGCTTTTTATCTTATATATACAAATTAAACTTTCTTACTTATGCTCATACGTGTATATTTAATTTTTAGATTTATATTCATTAAATTCCGAAATCTTTAAAGTAAATTAAAATTAAATTTAAAACTTCAACACCATAAGATTATTTTTTTTTTTTTATTAATGATATATTCAAGTGTACTTATAAATTCTTATTACAATTTTAATAATTCCTTTATTCTTAGGCTAATCCTTGTCAACACCCAATTGTCATCCTCCGAGATGTCAGAGAACAAGACATGGAAGCGCTTCTGAGGTTCATGTACAACGGAGAGGTTCACATTGGGCAAGAACAGCTAAGCGATTTCCTGAAAACTGCACAAACACTTCAAATCAGGGGTCTTGCCGATGTTCCACCCAAAGAACAACAGAAACTCCTTACTGTGAGTTGATATGTTTAAATCTAACAACCTAACTTCACTATTTTTTTTTTTTACTTACTTTAAAACTGAGTCACAAAGATTTCAGTTTGTGAAAATATCATTGATCTATATATCAATACTCTTATCTCCACTATTTAAATCTAAATAGATTATTACAGCACGGTGCATATATTTTGATGTCAATGCAATGCTAACAAATTTACGAATACTTTCTTGCATTATTATATATATGAGTTACAGACATTTTTAATTTAATGCTTCTTATTTACACACAAGTTCTTATTCAAAATACAATTAGGTATTAATATATTTCATTACAGTAATGATGTTAAAAATAATTGAATGATTAAAAGTAATTTACAGTTAACTAAATTATTTATTATGCTGAATAAACATAAATTAGTTTGTTAATTGTGTTTTTATCTAAATAGGTTTTGCTATTTTTTTTTTATTATTATTAGTAAATGAAATATTAGTATATATTTTATTTTACTTTTTCTTAAATATTTATTCTTAACATTGTTACATATATAGGATAAAAGAAGATAAATTAAATATAAATGGAGGACTATTGCATTATTATTGAAAAAATATATATTTTTGGTAGAATGAACCAGTCTTAATTGTAAATTATAAAAAAAAAAAGTGGAATTCCTGTTTTTTTTTTTTTTTTGTTTTTTTTATATATATCTTCTTTTTACTAAATGAAACAAACTTTTAAAACGACCAACTCTTTATGGTTATTAATTGTAACAAATATTGATTATGTATACCTAAACTTTATTGCATTTTAACATGACAGAGTATAATAAATTTTCTTGTTTAAATTAAAGTTTAATGTGAATGTGATTATCAATATTATTTTTTTTTTTTCTCTTTTGATAACTACATTCTTTTAAAAGTATTTAATTAATAAAATAATCTGTTTGTATGGCTAATTTTCTATTTATAACAGTCTTGGAAAAATTTTAAGGCTAATTATGAAGAATTGGCAATTTTAATAGGGATGGCAGAGAAGTGAATTAGGTTTCTACTTATAGTTTATTGTTGAAGAAATATGATATTGTTTTATAAGGCAAGATTTTATAATATTTATTTTTCAAATTTTGACAAAGATACTTTATTACTAAAGAAAAGCAACTCTGTTTTTATTGTTTCAAAATATAATTGTAATATTTGGTTGTTTAAGAATTATTTTTAATTAGTAAAGTTTATATGCATAATTTTTATTCTATTTCATACTATTTTGTTTATTTTTAAGAATTAACTATTTTTTAACCATCAAGGTTTTTAATTTGTATGTTTCTTTGACTTTAACTTGAATTAAAAATAAATTGCTCAATGTGTCCCTGCTTACTCACTTTTTGAGAGTACAAATTCAGTTTATAACTTCTATTTTATAGCTTTTTATTTTTGCTTCTTCAGTTTTGGGAAAGTAACTAACTTTTTTAGCTCCAAAAATATCACTAAAATAAAAAAAATCTGATGTACAAATCTTAAAAAGAGTAATAATTACTAATATATATATATATATATATATATATATATATATATATATATATATATATATATATATATATATATATATATATATATATTAAATCTTAATGTTGCTTCTTGCTAACCTGAAAACATAGGTCTGATCAGTTCCACAAAAACATCAATGAACATAATCAATAAATAAAAAATATATTTCTCTGTTCAGGAATTCCGAAATTATAGTTATGGGCTATGACTGGTCCTACATGCATCCATCTATATCAGTACAGCGGAATAACTTGTGTCTTATTTTTTTAACTGAGACAGCCCAATTATTAATCCATATCATGATTAGTTATAATTATGTTCTCTTGCTATAGTTATGTTATCCTATTGTACAATCATAATAAATTCATATTAATTTTTAGGGAGGACCTCCTCCAGGATGGGTTAACAATAATGATCATGGATCACCTCATATCCCACAAAGTGAGGGAGATTCACCTCCGCCAAAAAGAAGCCGGAGTTCTGAGCTCTCCCAACCTGTAGCCAGGTTTTCTCCATCTCCTGCAAACAGTCAAACGAACAATAGCAGCACATTGCATGGAGAAAACAACAACAGAGAATCTCTTCTTTCCCAAGCTCTAGAATCTAATCCACATAATAATATGCCAATCAACAATAATAATCAGGTATGACTGACTATTCCTCCGCATTTTTATTGAAATTTAATTTATAAGCTGATATAAATTTAATATTAATTACTTTATATTCTAATTTCATTGCAACATTCAAAATTATTTTAAATTAAAATTACAACCACAAGCATATGGGACTAATAAATGTTCGTTATAACAAATATTGACTAATTCATCTGTGAGAATAGAAATGGTTTTCAAATAAATTTAAGAGACAGTTCTATGATAAATTTGAATTATAAGAAGGTTTTAAAAGTTTATAAAAATTGTTTTATTTAATCAGTTATTTATACATAATTATGATTGTTTATGTTATTTCAAAATAATATTTGTTTTATTGCTAAGGAATTGTTTTGATTAATATATATATATATATATATATATATATATATATATATATGTAATATCAAAATAATTCCTTGGCAATAAAACGTATATACATATTCATATTTTTCATATTCATACATTCATATTCATATTCTTCTTATTACTTAAGAAGCAGCAGGGAATTTTTTTAGCCTTATCTCAAAATACCTTAACAAAATCATTTTGTAACTGTTTGGTCAGTTGAAGCTTCAACATTTATGATCAGCCAACTTCCCTTCAGTTTGCACAAAATTTCTTTTTGGTTGTTAAACAACTTGATTATATTTTGTACAGTTCATGAAAAATAATAAATGCATATTTGTTCTTGTTATGTTAAGATGACGATTATGAATACAGTATAAAATATTTAATAACATTTAGAAATATAAATTCAGAAAACAAAAAATCTAAAACAAATTTTTCTTTAAAATATTTATGAATTTCTTAATATTATTATCAATTTAATTAACTATTCATTAAATAAATTTTGATCTTAAACTTTGATTTCAGCTGAAAGGAAATTCAGATTCTTCAGTACATGCGCAGTCAACTGGGGAAGAAAGTAATTCTTCAGACACAGGGCTTAGTGAAAGAGGAAATGGCCCACACTCAATGGCAGATTTGATTCAGCCAAAAACTGAGCCAGCAGACTACAGCCATGACCACCATAATAACAGTATGATTATGGATCCTTCGAGAACACCTAATTTTCCAGCTGCTCTTCTTGGTCTCCAAGGTAGTTGTAGCTTGTCTTATTGAAAAAAATTTTATGATAGTTATTGGCTAGTATAAAATTCTAAGTAATAAAAAGGATGAGATAACTCAGTAAGTAAGACCCTGAGCTCCTAATTCCTGAACCTGCATTCGAATCAGGCTGTAGCAGATAATTATTAATTCTGTTATATCAGCCATGGCACAATCTTGAGGTTGGGAAAACCTCTTGTAGCATAGCCACCCTCTTTGAAATTATGGCATACTCTTGATCGATGGGAAGGAATGTTGTCAAGCATGATTCAAACCCAATTACCATCTTGTATGACCATTTGTCAAGAAGGAGTTAATCCTTGTAAAGAGCTGAACCAAGATAGGTTATAGTGGTCAAAGTTTTTTTATTTATTTAATTTTGTTTTCTATCTTTTAGATCTTTTGCCTCCAAATGAACCAGAAAAAAATGCCATAAATTATAATTTTTTGTTTGGGACACAAATTGACTGTTAAATTGCTTTTATTTACTTGTCAAATATCAGTTGCTTGATATTATCCCATAGAAATAATCATTTGAAAAATATTTATATAGTTTAATATAATCCATATGATAATAGTAATGATTAAATATACATTTTTTTATGATGATGAATCTTAAACACAGAAAAAAACTTAAGCTTAGATGAAAAATAAAGTTTATTATTGCTGATAACTTATATATAAGATTTTATATATAAGTTATCAGCAATAATAAATTTTATTTGTATATATGTATATATATATATACATAAAACCTGAAAAGTTTAATACAAACCTATTAATTTTTCATCAATTCAGATATTATAAATTCCAAAATATATTGTTAATTCATATTCTGAATTCAAAGCATTCAGAAATTAATGTAATAACACTTATGATATAAATATATATTTTTTACTTTGCTTGCAGTCTAATGGTTGCTTATATTGTTAAATATCAGCTGGAAATTTAGGCTGTTCCATACCTGCTAGAGTCGCTGGTGGGATTCACCTACCTGGGAAGGGGTGTTTTTTTTTTACTGATGCTTACTTACCTATTGTTGTTCAGTCATCAATCCAAATGGTGACCAAGATAAGTTTTGCTTGGCTTTACTGTCCTCAACTACTGAGGCCTATTGATGTATTATATTATTATAATATACTAACTATTGAGGCTATGATGGCCAAGCATGTTAGAACTTTGCCCAATTTCACATTCCTGAGTCTAGCAGTGGCTTTATTTCGGATTTCCAACCTCTTTGAAATTTAAACCTTTCCACTTTGGTTAAAATAGGTTTGGTTGTATCTCTAGTTCCACAAGTTAGTGACTTGTTAGAAGACTGCTGTTATTATTATCTGTTTAAATAAGTTATTATTTCCCTCATTAAAATAAATTTCTCAATTTACAGGACTTCCAGGGCTGCTTCCTGGACCCTCTGGGATGCATAACAGCGGCCCGGACAACAGCTTTGGTGAGTAATATGCAATATATGTATATAAATTTTTCTAGAGAAGCCTATTGCAATACAAAAGTACAGTTATAGTTCAATTTTTTAATGTTGCAATAGACTCATCTTCAGCTATTCAACACTATTTATACCTCAGCATTTTTAACATTTTTTATTGATTTACTTTATTAACCATCACTGCCTTAATTACATAGAACATACTAAATTTGATAGAATTTTCCATCTTCAATACTATTAAATCAGATTATAAGCTACTTCAATTATGTAGATAAATACTGCATTATTGGAATTAATAAATAAGAGATTTTAAAAAATATGAGTTTTTGGTTTCTTAATGCAGATATAGCATCACATTAAATATAACCTAAACTCCATCATAAAAAGATGTATGCTATAAATTTGCCATTTTTGATAAAATCTTTAAATATGAACCTTAGTCACATAGACTTAATTAACATTACATTTCCTGTATTTTTATTATCCTGTACGTCATAATTCCTGAATATTTTTGGGGGTTGGAGATGAGCTTTGCTTGTTAATCATTTTTTATTTTAAAATAATTTTTCATACCAGTTAGTCTCATCATAACATTGAATTGTTAAATTTAGTAAACTATTGTTTTTTCATCAGAGGGTAATTTTTTTTTATTTTTTGCAAGATATAGTGACCTCTTCAATTTGTATCCTTTCTAATTCTTGCTTTAGTAATATCAATTGGTTTCTATGTCTTTAGTTTCTTTTACATGCCAAGAACCTCCATTATTATCATTGAGCTATAAAAACATTAACTTTAAATTAAAATCACAAGCTCTTGTCGGCAGAACTTATTATTTTCAAATCAATCTAGTATCAAAGGATCCATATGTTAAATTTTCAAAGAGCATGCATTCGTTGTAATAAATTTACTTAGATAATAACAGAGATAGATTTAACCCAATAATAGAGATAACAGGTAAAGTAATTTATCAAGATATGACCTATTTTTTCCAGTTGACTCAATAATTCCTTTCCAATAAGCCAAATTTTCAGCTTAGATTCATATTTCAACATTGGTTTTTTTATATATTAATTAAGGCACAATGGTTAAGTTAATTATTAATGTTTTTAAAGAGGTTATAAATAGTATTATTTAATATTTTTAATTTAGTATTAAGATTTTAATTTTTAGAAGGAGCAATTAAATATGTACTTGTTTTTCTTTGAGTGATTATGATGTTTTGAATTTTTGTATTGAAAAAGCACTTATTTGTATGTTTTGATTTGGGCATAATTCTTTTTTTCCCACAAAATTGGCATATTATATCACAAAATCATTTCTTTTATAATCTCTTCCCAATATTGAAGGACATCTGTGCTGGCGGTAAATTATCCAACAAGAGAAACATTAAACAAATTCTATGTTGATTGCTCTTTCTTTGAGAAGAGGTGTGCGGGGATTTGTTTAGTAAAAGCCGGTATGTGGGCGATGCAGGGATCGATGGGTTTGACCGACCAGTGAAGCCTATCTGCCCCGAGTGCGGGAAGGAGTATAGCAACAACAGCAACCTGAAGCAGCATATAGCCAACGTCCACACGACTGCTCCGAGGTGGGAAACTTGTTACGTCTGCTCCAAAAGCTTCAAAACTAGGCAGTATCTACAAGTTCATTTGCTCGCTACTCATGGAATCAGGCAGAGGAAGTCATATAATCAACCCATGTATCAAATGCCCCCTTCTTAACAGTCACAGGGAAATGGACAGTGTTTTGCACAAAACCAGTTCATGAATTTTGAAAATGATTCTAATTGTAAATTTAACAGTTCATTTAACTGGAATTAATAGGATTCCTTGTTATCATATTAAATTAATAATCAAAACATTAATGTAGTGAATTCTCATTGTGCCATAATAACTTTTGTAATTAAATATAGAATGTATTAAGGATTGTTTTCTATAAGTGATATTGTAAAGTTAACTCTTCTTTTCATATTTAAAAAAAAAAAAATTATATATGTTTTCTCAGCTATGTGTTTATTATCTCTCAATTAATGTAAAGTTATTAAAAATTCAACTGTCAAAATAAATTAGCAAAGTGGAACATTAGGATAGTGAAATGTGGTGTGAAAACAGTAATGGGTTTCCAGGAGGTGAGAAGCCCTTTTGCGGGGATTGTGGAAGAATTTATTCAAGCACGAGTAACCTGAGACAACACATTGCTAATGTTCATGCACCAGGGGCATGGGTTCAGTGCAACATCTGTGGAAAGTACTTCAAAACCCGCCAGTACCTTTACAATCATCTCCTGCAGACCCACGGAATTAGACAGAGAACAAACAAGAATTTTTATTTCAACATGAATACAAGTTATGACTAAAGTAATATGTTTGTTATGTTCTAATGGAGTGGGGTGGTGGTGTTGCAGGGCCACCCCCTCCTGAGCGACCGACCTGCCCGCACTGCTCCCGTGTATACAGCAATATCTCAAATCTCAGGCAACACATCATCAATGTTCATGCACCTCCGAGTTCTTGGTATATTTGCTCCATTTGCCACAAACATTGCAAAACTAAGCATTATCTCATCAACCACCAGCTTCAAGCGCATGGGGTGAGGCAGAGAAAGCCAACATAGTATATAATAACTAATATCATTATTATTCTCAATGGCAAATATTCAATGTATTATTTCTTAGTTTTTCTTCAGAATATCAAAGATCTGTATGATAAGTGAGAGAAAATGTATAAATTCAAGTGCAGTTTGTTTGTATTATGAATGATTTAAATTTTTTATGAATATTATTTCAATTTGTAACTTGCATGTATAAGATCTAAAAATGTTCCTGGTTCAAAATTGAAGTGTTACAATTCCATTTCAGGTTTTCAAGTTCATTGAGTAACCATATTTATTTTGATAGCATTAAAGGCAATTTTTTTAATCTTTGTACTAGATTTAATTGAGTGTTATGTACCAAACATGATGATATTTTATTTCAATTTGAGAAATGATATAAAAGAAAAAAGAGAAAAAGATCTTATTTTGCATTTTTATGTGATACATGCTTTATATTACAATAAATAGACATATTTGTAAGTATGAACTAATATAATATTTAAATTATTACATAAACTAATACAGTTCCTATTTTATAAGATAGAATTACTTTTATATTATGAACTTGTTTAAATTTGTAAATGCCCTGTATTTTGGTCTTGGATGTGTCTATATAAGACTCGTTGACGTGGTATTACAGATGAAGGCTACAGTTGCCCTTTGTGCGAGGCTAGGTGCCCAGACCTTCTCACAATTCGCAATCACATCGATGTGCATTACCCGCGTGATTCCCCCGCATGTCCTGTTCCTTCATGCGCCCGCCTCTTCTCTCACCCAAACTCAGTAAGAAATCACATGAGAGAGAAGCATTCTCAAATATGGCTTAAAATGAAGAGTCTTAAATGGACACATGTAATACCACAATGTCGAACAAAAAATGATAATATCTTTGTTAAAGACATGCTGTGACTAAAATAAAGTTAATGGGTAGCTATGTTATATTTTTATAAGTTTAATCTATTTTGCCTTTAAAAAAATATTGTGAAGATTGATGTATTTATAATTCTTTTGGTACAAGGTTTCCTTTTAAAAAAAGTATTATTTTATTCCTAAATTTAACTGTAGTCCCTGTGTATCAGTTCCTCAATGCACAACTTGAAATTTTTACGTTTAAAGCATCATAAAGCTAATTTTATAGACTATTTTGTTCATAGAATTTAAAATTGTTTATTTCCATTACCAGTTTTTATTGTTTATTAAATATTTCTATATTTTTTAATTAGTCCTATTATGATTGCAAATTTTCATTTTTTTATTAATATAGATTTAAATAAGCCTCCTGGCATATTGTGATTACAATTTTTATTTACCCCAAAATAGTATGTAACATAATGATACTGATGAAATTATACCTTAACTTGAGCATTATGTGAAAAATTAGTTATTAATTAATGTCTAGTCCCAGTTTTGTAAAAACTATCAAGAGCAGACAAGAGAATCAATATCTATTGAAATGCAGTGATATTTTTCCAGAAATTCTCAAATTTATTTGAGTTTTAAGATTTTCATTTTTTTAAATAAATGATTTACAATGTTTGGTTTTCACTGTTTTAGAAATACAAATGTTTCTCTTGTCTATTCTGACTAATTAAACTAGGTTAAAGTTCCAAGCTTGGCTAGCTTAAGGTAAGAAATATAAAAGAACTGTTTTATTTTTAGATAACTGTAAATAGAAACATATTTTTTTTAAATGGATTATGTCTTAAATATCTTTTAAAAATTTAGTTTTAATTTAAGTTCTGTGATCTATTGTTTTTATTTTCTCTTTTTATTTTAGAAAATATTTAAGATTATTATTTATTATTGCAAAACATTTTAAGGCTTATTATGTATCTACCATTAGCGCATTAATATCAATAATATAAATAATGTTAGTAACTCAAAAGTTTTACTCTTCAACTTTACCATTCATTTTAAACTGAAATGTTTTAACCATATCTTGTAAATGAATTAAAGAATTAGTTTTTCTATTTGAAATAAATGCCTCAATTAAGTATTAAATTATTAATAACCTATATTACATTATCATAATTCCCATATATTATGCCTTTTTACTCATAAGTGTGCGTAAAATTTGTATTATCTTAATTTTTTACATTTCCTCTCTTTACGTTGTTTTTCTATTTTTTTTCTTTTTGCTTTCTATTGGCTTAGTAATCATAGTAAAATAAGTGTACTATGGTCTCGTATTTTGCCAGACAATTTCAGTCTATTTTATGATGGAAGAAAACTGTTATTACAGTTTCAAGGCGGGGACTGGATATGATGCGAGTAAGGGCGACTGACCCAAGGCCATGCCCAAAGTGCGGAAAGATCTATAGGTCTGCCCATACACTACGCACCCACCTTGAGGACAAGCATACAGTGTGCCCTGGCTATCGATGTGTCCTCTGCGGTACTGTCGCTAAGTCTCGTAACTCTCTTCACTCACATATGAGTAGGCAGCATCGAGGGATATCGACAAAGGATCTTCCTGTTCTCCCAATGCCTTCACCTTTCGACCCTGAGCTGGCATCTCGTCTTCTTGCTAAAGCTGGTGTCAAGGTAACATTTTTTTTTTTTTTTCCTTGTTTATAAATGTAAGCATTGCTTGAAGCAATCATAGATAAATTAATCTGATACTTTAACTTATATAGTTGAAGAAAAAATGTTTGCTTATAATTAACCCTTCATAGGGCATAACTTCCATGATTTCTTTTTCATTTTATTTTTAATCAGGAAATAATATCTAGAGTAGAAATAGGATGTTTATAGACTTTCTTTGTTTGTGGGTTATGTTATATAACTAGTGTGAATCAGTTAATTATCAATCAGCTTACAAACATTTATTGGATATAATTTTCATGATTCCTTTTTCAATTGTTTGCATTAGGACGTGTTATTTAAAGTATAAGTTCACTGTTTTAAGATATTTAGATTTTTTTTAGTTTTTTATTACTACAATCAGATGGTTGATATATTCACCTTATAAACTTCTTCATTATCTATGAATTATAGCTGCGATATCCATTAATAAGTCAGTGATAAATTATATATTTGTTTTATTAAATAAAAAAGTAATCATTATATCAACAAAATTATATTTACAATTTTAGTGAAAAATAACTAGTAAACTGGAGCACATAATTAACTAGAAAAAAACTGTTGATCAATAAGAGTCAAAATATCGACCACTTTCAGTGTTAATTGTACCTGAGACCTTCCGTCATCTATAACTAAATCTTCTTTTAGTTAGTTGCTCTAGCATAAAGTAAAATATAATAAAATTAACACAGCTTCGGTTTCTTTTAAAAACTAAGAATGTGTGGATTTATCGATGTATCTGCTAATTTAACCATTGTTCTATAAAGGGTTAAAATTATTTTTTGATATGATTAAATATTGATTTGTCACATAAGTTAGTTCTCATTATTTGCTAAATTAGATGAAGTATATTCACATGTCAAGATGGAATTATTCAAGGAATTTAAATGCCTGTCTTAATTCATATCTTCAATCTTTTAATTGTTCATTTCCTAAATTAATCAATGGAGATAATAAGATAAGTTGTTTTATTTTTTAACATAGAAGAAAAAAAATGGGTAGAAAACATGTTCTTTCCTTAATAAATTGGAGGTTCAGTAGGGACATTTTAATTTATAAGATGGAGATTATTCTCTGGTTTCCCTTTCACTATAAACAAAAACTAATCTGAAACTTATTAGGTATGGATGGTGATATGAACACATCTAGGTTGGTTGTTATGAAACAAAGGTATAAATGTCTTAGTGATATTGAATTTGTATGAAGTTGTGTTTGAAATGTTATATCATAATATTATGAAAATTCATTGTTTTTTCTTGTCTGTTTTATTGAAGTATGTTTTTGTGTCTGCGTACCCATAGTTTATTTTGTACTATTGGTAGCAAAACAAATTTGAGAACCATCCTTCAGTGCTTCAGAGCATTCAGTGCTTTAAATACAGAGGAATAAAGTTGAGTTATATTTTGGTTTTTATAGTGTTGAGAAGAAATTGAGTTTTACTACCTTTTGCCCTACTTTGAGGAGAGGACCAATGTCTGATGTAAGAAGTCCAAACCACTTGGATATTAACTTTCAAACCATTTGATATTAGCATTTTCTTTGTTAAGGGATTTCCTTTTGTAGATATACAAGTAATTTTGAAGTTCAAGAAAATGGTGTTTGATTTATCATAACCATTAACTACATTTTATCTTTTTTTTTTTTTTGCAATAAATCAGGTATACATGAAAGTTCTGTTTGTTTTAGAATCCAAAGAAAATAATAAAATTATACTTATTATTTAAGATACTTTATGGCAGTATGACAATTTTTGGATTCCATTTCTGTCAAAGGGTTTTAAAGCTTTGCTGACATCTGTTTCCTTTAAAATTATGTTTAAATTAAGAACAGTTTTTGAAATAAAGAAACAGGAGAATTATTCTGTGATGCTAGGTCAAGACCATAAAGAATTTCCTCAAATCCTCAGAGCATGTGGCCTGATTGTATAACTGTGCAAAAGTTATAATTTTGCTGCCTAAAGCTTAATGCTATGTTGTAGAAGCGATAAAATATAATAATTCAACATAAATGATAAAGTTTGATGTCCTAAGTGAACTTCAAATGTTCCATTAAGGCATTCATTTATGCTATTAATGTTTGATTTATGCATTACCCAATGCCATCATCTGCTCATACATGCTTAGCTAATCAGAAAATTTCCTAAGAAGGAAAGATGTTTGTGAACAACTAATTAAAAAAAAAAACTAACATAAAAAGATTGTTGTTGCTTGGAAGGAAGCAAAAGATTCTGCACTATAAAAATACTAGGCCAATCTTCTTTAGTAACTCTCGAGAAAATTATAGAACTAGGCTTGAAAATGTATTCAAATCCATTATACTCTTCATGCTTAGAACAATCTGATTACTATCCAGCTAGAAGGTCACAAGAAATAATAATTTTATATTGGTTCCAAAATTTATGATTATGTCTGATATATTTATATACAAATTTAGCTATTTAATTTTTGATATTTAAAAAATTATATTAATTATGACTTGTGATAATGACTGAAGTTTTATTTTAATGCTTTAATTACCTGTTTTTTATTAGTCATCAATTGGAACATATTTTCAGTGTTTTAATAACATGTGAAAACATTTCGTAGGTGTCTGCTGCAGAGCTGAGGGCACGATCGTCCCCTACTGGCCCTCCTCGTCCGAGGCCAGATGTACGACTTGAGTTGAAATCACCTGATGATCCTGAGGACCTTACAATGAACAGCCATCATGCATCAAGGTTTTGTTCGGTAGATATCAGGCCACTTTCTCCACCACCTCAGTCTCCTCATACAAAACCTCTTACAGGTTCTGCTATTCTAGACACTTACCTACAGTTTATAGCAGAGAACTCGAGTAATTTACACCTCTCTGCTGAACAGGCAGCTAAAGTAGCTGCAAAAGTATCTGAAGAGCAGAGGAGAATGGCCATAATGGATGATCGAACTATGGAAGAATCTTCTGAACCAGAAGATGAATATTCTGAAGAAGAACGGGAACCAGAACCAATCAAAGCAGAGTAACACAAAATCATTCCACATAGTTGGTTATTCTTTATAAGCCTTATTTAAAGATAGAACCCACATCACTTACCTATAGAAATAGTTAATATCGCTCAATAATAACTGATTGTAATAAATTATTTACTAATTTTGTTATTATTGTTAATAAGGGTGCTCGGAAATAAATATTTTTAGAAAGATTGGGTACTGAAGTAACCATTTATTTGAAAAAAAATCTCGCATTCTAAATTTTTGAGAGGTATTCTTAATAACATAATAAAAACTATCTAGTTCTGAAAAGTTATTTTTATTTTAATTGCAAATAACATTTGTCAAACAAGCTAAAGAAAATTTAAGTAATAGTGAATAGGTTTTCGTTAAAATTTAAATTTAAAAACAAAAAAAACCTACAAACAAAACTACAAAAGTAAATTACTTGTTTACACCCTTGTTAGACAAAATGTTTCAGTGTAACTACCTCAGTTGTAACAGTTGCAATAAACGGGTTCACCCTGTAGTAGTAAGGTTCATATTCGATCAGATTTATCTACCTCAGGAATTTAAAATCGCAGTATGCATTGTATTCTAGAAAAGTCATTATTTATAAATTTCATGACGTAATAATGACAAAATATTCCATTATCTACCTCAGGTATTATTACAAAGTTAAATAAGTTGATTTTCTATATATTGTTGCCATATTAAAATTAGCTCTCTACCTCATATATACAATTTAATGATGATATATTTATTATATTTTCTACAAGAGCTATAGATGACAATCTCAGGTGTTAATAGTTTTATAAGCGTTTTGTAGATTTATGCCTTAATTTGAACACTTTAAAGACTTGGATATTATTTTAAACTTAATCAAATGATGTTGAGTACAAAGCATTCTAACACTCAAAGCTTTATTTTATTTTTAATTTTATATATATTATATATATAAATATGATGTATGTGTATAAATATATATTTACTCTAGGAAAATGAGAATGACAGATAATTGGTTAATTCTGTTCAATTATTTTATGTTAAATAATAATTTAAAAAGCAATATAACCTGTTATAATTTAATGATTGTATGATATATGATAATTCAAAAATCAGCATTTAGCATAATATCTTGAAATAAAGTGATAATACACCACCTAATAAATTATTTTTTAATGCTACAAGCAAATAGTTTAGTGCTTAGCTTATAGGTTGAACATATTATGTTCTTTTATAATAAGATGAAATTATTGTCATTCTTATAATATATATATTAATTTGCAAGAAAAATAGCCGAGTTAAAAATTAAAAAAAAAAAATCAAAAAAACAAACAAGGTCTTGCTATACCTTTAAATTATTTAATTTATTTGTTTTAATTAAGGTAATATGAATCCCCCATTGTTTGCAGTTATGTACTTACTGATCTAAGTTTTCATTAGTTAGATATTAATTGTACTGATATATGTGTCATTAAAAATAGTGAAATTAATGGTGCAAGTAATAAAGTGTGAGCTTTTATAGGATATTTCCAATAACGGATGACAGTAAATATTTGTAAATAATAATTAATACAATCGTCCACTGTGTGTTAAATAATCGCTATTTTTTAGAACTTAGGCTCCTCAAAAACTTCCGATATATTTATACAAAGGCTTCCAAAATTGCCCATTTGATATAGTAAACCTTATATTAAAATACAAGTACCTTTACAAATTAACAAATATTTCAAAAAAAAAAATGCAGTTTATACATCTATTTACCTCGAAGTGCATTTATGTACAATTCAAATACAGGTATATTGTAGTAATTAGTAATACAATTAATAGTTGTTATTTTTTTGTGAAAGCTCTCTAGTTATTTACCTTAAGTACAAAATCTATATCATTCCTCGCTCTGGAGATTCCCATCGACTGTAATTTAAACCAAGACTAACATTCTTTAATTTTATTTTATATGTGACTATTTTTATTAAATATGTATTCGATTACAGCTAAAATCAATGGCATGAAATATGCAAAAGACTGATTTGACTTTAGCCTTACAAATATGATATTTCATGTAATTAACTTTAGCTGATTGTGTGAATAATTATGACCCACCTAGAATATGAGGGAATCTTAAGAACTAGGAATTTAGAAGTGATAATGAGACTGATACGATTTGTTGTTTTGTAGCTGACTTCTGTCAGTCTTGGTTCACTTCACAAAAAAAAAAAACTGATTTTCATTGTGTCATTTCAATGGGAAATATATATTTATTTCCCATAAACATAATCATATATTCTTTAGCTATTATAAATAGCAGATATCTTAAATGAAAAAAAAATGTAAAGACATTAGTGACAAATACCTCATTAGATAATTAGTACCCATAAAATTTATATTACCCAAGCCAAGTAATTAAGAAAGAGGAATATCTTTTATATTTGTATATAAACTACATTTTGAACTGTTATATAAAGAAATCATTCATATTTTAAATGTGCTATATTTCATTTTTGCCGAGTGATTAGTTAAGTTAACCCAGTGAACTTAAAGTGGCTAGGTTTTAAGCAAGTAAATTATTAGTTTAGGAAAATGAATACACAATACTTAGTTATTATATACATATATATATATTTAAAAAACAAAAAACAAGTTGCTTGTTAGATGCTAAATAATTATTTGTTGAATCTGGATAGAATCATGGCATTTTCATAATGCTATTATGTAATGTTAAATTTTAATTGTACAGAATGTAAATAAAAAATGGTGCTTGCTTAAATGATGAAAGGATGCTTTGGGGTTAAAAGTTAAAATAGTTTTCATAGTACTAACAGTTTCTTAATTGTTAAGTCATTTTATGTTCTGTAATAGTATAGATTTATGTATTGTAAAAGGTACTCTAAATTATTTCAGATATTGAATTATTTAGTTATGTCTATACACTTTGGATGGCTGATAATTTGAATTGTGCCCATATTGGTTTAAGATGGTAAATACTCATTTAATGTAGTACTGATAAGTCATTAGTGTTTATAAATTGTTAGATTTGTATAATTTCTATAGTATTGGTTAAGACTTTGTCGTGGGAAGGGTTTTAGAAAATGTTTTTTGCGAGCTTATTTTAAATCAAAAATTTAATGTAAGAAATTAAAACTTAGTGAAAACTCAGTGCCATACCTATAACATGACATACAATGCCATAATTATTTGTAATTATTTTAATTATTGTTTCAATGCTACTGACTTGATTCAAAATCGGGCATAATATTGTAATAATTGATTTGTGGTTCCTATACATTTTGGACAGTCCCTCAGCGATTTTAAGGAACACAATATTGATTAAATAAACTGATAAATTTTATTGTTTAATTGTTTTTCAATCCAAATTTTAATTAAAATGTCATGTTCGTATTCTAAAAAATCTTATTAATTAAAAAAATGAAAATACTGCCTGATGGTCAGTTGAAAGGGTGTTGGGGGACGTTGTGCCTTCTCTTTTGATTGAGCACGTGTCAAATAGTTATTAAGAAACGGGAGTTTCTGTTTACAGTTCCTAAAAGAACCCTAGTGGCAACAGAGTCGAATGTAGGCTGTAGTGTTATATGTTGCACTTGTTTATTGTGTTGCAATCCGTCCTATTGGGTGTTATATTTATATAATAATTTTGTTTTTATGTTGAACTGATAATATATTTAAATAAATAATTGATCTGGGGTAAATAAGGTAATGTTTTGTTTAAATGTCACTCATAGGACGGCTTAGACATGATTAGAATTTTAGATAGATTAGTTGATGTTAAATGTAGGTTAACATTATTATTAACCATCTGTTCTGAACCAAGTGCTGTATTTATGTTTTAATGTATTATTTTATAAATAGTTATTGATTTAATCTTTTATTTTTTATTAGATTTATAAATCTAATTATGTTAAAATGCGGGTTATTAAATTTGAGACATTGTTTTATCGCTAGCTGGAACAGCCTTATGTTTATAATTGTAATTGGAATACTATGTAAAATATTGAAGTTCAATTTATAGATTAATAAAAAATATATATAATGTAAACTTAGGTTGGTGCACAGTATTTTATTGCATACGTTTTATCTTTTGGGTTTTATTATTTAAAACAAATAAATATATTTAATTAAAAAAAATTAGGCAGATTATAATTATTTTTTAATACAACTGTGTATAATAAAATTTAAATTAATTACCAAACCAGAATGTCATCTTAGTACAAGTATTGTATTGCATACATTGTCCTTTTTATAGTAATAGACCGTCCATAAGTACTGTATTACAGTCCAAATATACAATAGCCAATCAAATAAAATTATAGTAAAATCTGGAAGACATCTTCCGATTGTCAGTCCAAGTCGGCTGCATTTATAGTGGGGTATTGTCGAGTGATATTTTATAATTTTTTTAGGAATGAAGTTTAATAGAAAACATGTGTTAATGTAATATTTGGAAGGGTTAAATGTGTGATGACAAAATTTATAAATTGAGGATCTATTTGGGAGAAATTTACCATACATAGTACAGGTTCAACTTGTACATAATTTAAAATAAGTAATTTTCATTAAAAAATAATTAATGAAGAAGAGATATGTAAGACATACACCTGTTAAAAAATTGTTATTGCAATTTAAAACAAATTTAGAACTATTTGTAAATATATATATATACTAATCCAAAATAAAAACAATCATAATATATCATTACTAACCTTCAATGTTACAATCCTTATACTAAAGTCCTGTAAGTAAGAAAAAATATTTATATATCAGGTATGTAGATTCATAAATGAAAACTAAACAAAAACATTCATCCATAATTTTCATTAAAAACTAACTCAAAAGGTCACCTGCAATCAACTTTTTTTTAATTATTAACATTTGATAATTTTAAGAACAATTATAAACCAGGGTTCTCTTAGATTGATGAGATTATTATAAGATAACTCAGTGCAATCTACAATAAAACAAGTTTGACTCTAGGACTCCAACTCTACTACACTAGAAAATCCTGAGGTTTTAGGTACACATTTAAATTCTCATTATTTGAATGAAGTAAATAAAAGTTCATATTGTTGGACAATCAATGACCTATATTTTGGTGAATATATAAGCTCCAGAATAAAGTCTTTCATTGACTTAAGTTAATTGTAAAAGGAAAAATTGATGAAAAAGAAATAATGTGAAATTGAGAAACAATTTAATCCACATTCTTCAAATTATTACTTGTGATAATAAATTATATTATTTGTGACGATGCCAATATGGACCCCAATGTAATCCCATGTAAAACCCAGTTATAGCATGTATATGTTGAAATTTCATTTAAAAAAAACAGTCACATATAATGGACACGCTTGCAGTATCTTACAAATGATAAAAGAATCTTATTGAACTGACAGGGGCAGAGTAATTTGATAACCATATATTAAACAAGAAAATAGAAGACTTGGAAATCATATGGACATACAAGAAAAAAATTCTAAGCAGGGGAAGAACAAACCTTTTAAGGTCCTGTGCCTTGATGTTAAGTTGTAATTATTTTAGAGAGAGAGAGAGAGACTCGATGAGGGACCTACTTACGTAATTGTATGTAAGAAAGTAAAAGCCATGAAAAGGATGCCGCTGGGTATTGCTTTTCCTTATGCCTATCAAGCCTTTTTATTTTATTTTCTCATGACTGTGCCAGCACATCTGCTGATTGTCAATAGTTATAATTGACAGGTGCGGATAAATATATGTAAGTGCAAAAAAAAAATATATATATAGGCATGCAGATGCCTGGGGATCAGCACTGGATACCAGAGCTCAGTACAACATGCACACTCAGAACAGTGCACATACATTACACTTCAGACAAAGGCATTAACAGTATACAACGTAAAGCTACTTTCCCTGGAAAGTAGGTCCTAGAAGGCATCAAGGTAGCAGCCGTACCATCGGACTTGCATGCTATGGGCCGCTGACCTGCACATCCTAAATTAACCTATCAGGAAACCTCATAGAGAAAAAACCGGATTGATCTCAGGGAAACGACTTGGCGGATCTTATTTTTTGATATTGGAATGTTTAAAGCATGTATAGACCTGGAGCACTACAGATGCTCTTAAATGTCATTGACGAATATAAGTTGGACATAACAGCCATTCAGGAAATACATTGGACTGGACATGGAATTGTCGAAAAGAAGAGCCATACTATATATTATACCTGCCATAGTAAGCACCATTTCTTCGGTACCAGGTTTATTGTTCGTAAGAATGCAAGGTCGTTAATTACAGATTTCAAGCCTGTAAATCCCAGAATTTGCTACTTAATAATAAAAGGAAATTTTTTTAATTATAGGCTTTTCAATGCTCATGCACCCACGGAAATGTCAGATGACATAGAAAAAGATGAGTTTTATGAGATTCTTGAAAAAACAGTAGATAATGGGTGATTTTAACTCAAAGATTGGCAATGAGAGCGTATTCTTCCCAACTATTGGTCAGCATATCCTGCACAATGACACTAATGATAATGGGCAAAGAATAGTGAACTTGGCCGCATCTAAAAACCTAATCATAGGTAGCACGCTCTTCCCACATAAAAATATTCATAAAGGTACGTGGAAATCCCCAAATGGGGAAACTATAAATCAAATCGATCATATCTTGATTAGTGCAAGACATCACTGAAATTCGATCAATGTCAGAATCTACAGAGGAGCCAACATTGATTCTGATAATTTTTTAAGTATTGCCAGAATCAGACCTAGGATAGCGAACACTAACCCAAGAACAGAAAAACAAAAAGTAAAAAAGCATGATACGAATAAACTGAAAAATCTAGATGTGCGTCAATTGTATGAGGAGTGAATAAATAAAAAAATTAGTAACTCTAAATGTTTCAGATGATCATAATATTGATCGTATATGAGATGCGCTCAAAGTTTCGCTGGATTCAGCAACTGAAGAAGTTCTAGGTTAGCAGGAAAGATTAGTCAGATTTCTCTGAAGAGTGTCATTTGGTGATTGCAGCAAAGAATGAGGCTTACAGAAAAATGCTTCAAAAATGAAATACTCTAGCCGCAACTGAGGAATATCGTGAAAAAAGAAGAATTGAAAAAAAGGTTACACAAGAGAAAAAAACGGGAATATGAAAGCAATGAGTTGGAGGATATTGAAGAACACAGGAACCTAAGTGAAGTGAAATTACAACATTGATGAGAATGCTGTAAAATCTGGTTATAGTGCCGATGATGAGGAAGTAGAGGAGGCAATAAGAAAGCTCAAAAACAACAAGGCCCCAGGATTTGATGGACTCCCAGGTGAACTATACAAATATGGGGAAACCGAGCTAATAAAAATCTTATGCGAGCTATTCTTGAGTATCTGGACAGAAGAGAAATTGCCTAAGGATTGGAACAAGTCTGTGATATGCCTTATATACAAGAAAGATGATAAACTTAACTGTGAAAATTATAGAGGCATTTCTCTGCTTTCCAGTGCTTACAAAGTTCTATCATACGTGCTCTTCCAGAAGCTTCTGACATTTGCCAGAGCGAGAGATCGGCAAATATCAGTGTAGATTCAGAAGAGGAAAATCGACCACTGATCAGATATTCACCCTTAGAATGCTGCTGGAGAAAACTATGGAGTATAATGTTAAAACTCACCATCTCTTTATAGATTTTAGAGCTGCTTATGATAGCATCGATAGAGAGCAGTTATACAGGGCAATGATTGAAATGAACATACCACCTTAATAGGTCAGCCTCGTCAGGATGACCATGATGGGCAGTGTGTCGTCCGAGTACAGGGAGACCTATCATAGAGGTTCATGACAACTAAAGGACTGCGTCAAGGAGATGCTCTTGCATGCCTCCTATTTAACCTGGCACTCGAAAAAGCTATGAGGGATTCTGGCATCCAGACTACTGGTAGGCTATTCAATAAGACTGCATAGCTACTTGCATATGCCGATGACATTGACATAATGGCCAGATAGATGAATGCTATGAAAGAAGCGTTTGTCCTACTAGAAGCAGGACTGGTCGTTAATGAAGCAATAACCAATATATGTGTATTGGAGGTAGTGCTACCGCCCGAGAACAGCACCTGGAGATCACACTATAAGCTTCAGAGAGTTAATGAGTTTGCATATCTGGGATCTCTGGTAAATAGAGAAAACAAAGGAAACCTAGAGATCAAGAGAAGGATAGTAGTGGCAAACAAGTGCTATTTTTGCCTAAAGAAGCATTTCAAAACTAAACTCATCTCTCGCAGCACAAAGACACAACTTTATAAAACGCTCATTCCTCCTGTACTGATGTATGGCTCCGAAGCCTGAACCATGAAGCAAGGAGACGAGCGAGCCCTAGCATTATTTGAATGGAAGGTGCTCCACAGAATCTATGGTCCTGTGAGCGATGAACAAAATTGGAGGATTAGACATAACACACAGCTTTACAATCTATTCAAGGAGCCGGATATCATAAGAATCATAAAGCTTGCAAGACTGCAATGGGTAGGGCCTGTGGTGAGGATGATAAATGATGAAATCCCCCCAAAAAACTATGGAGAGCAATGAACAAGGCTTTAAGAAAGTAGGAAGAGCACGGCTGTGATGGCAGGATTGTGTGGCAAGAGATGCATGTGCACTACTTGGTGTACATAACTGGAAAGCAGCTGCGCAGGATAGAGACACTTGGCGGACACGTCTTGAGGAGGCCAAGACTCTTCATGAATTGTAGTGCCGTGGAAGAATAAGCTAGTGATTATTTTCAATATGGAATTTTTTAGCTAAAAAAAATTGTAAATACAAAGAAATGTATAATTCGAATCCCGTTATCAGTGTAATTTTTTTAGAAAAAATGTCATTTAATTTTTATGATCACTTACAGTTATTTTAATGATAATTTACAGTTATTTTGCTTTTCAGAAATGAGCAAATATGCAAGAAAGTGAAATGTGGGATTGAGCCGACTTTCCAACTTAAACATGTGGGTCATCCTCAGAGCTATCATTTAGAAGTCTAGACAAGAACTACAGGAGTTTTTGATGGGGACAAGAATTCCCCTTTTTGTTGAGGAAGACAGGGAAAGGAATCTTGTCTCAACTTCCAAACAACAGCTCTGAGGATGACCCACATATTCGGGTCAAAAAGTCGGCTAACCCAATAAAAATATCAACTGACATTCCTGACAATGTTGTTTCATCCTTGTAATTGATCAGTTGATTACATACGCATCTCTAAAGAACCTAAAACAGTTAAAATATCTAAAATCACTTTTCCCAGAATGAGCATTGTTCAAACTAAGGATGGGTGAGTATGAAATAAAATGTAATCCTGAAACTTTCATGAACTACACAGATTCTTTTAAACAGTACAATAATCAAATTTAGGAAATAAAATAGTTTTATTCACAAGAACTTCAAAACTATCTTAATTTACTAGACTGAAAGGTTGGATATAGCACAATTTAATATCTAGCTAACTCTTAGTACATAATGTCCAGGATGTATGTCTATAAACAACAAGATTTCATATACTTCACTAGAACCAGGACTTTATAAATAGCTTATATTATTGACTTATGTATCCCAAATATCCAACAAAACTGTGTCTATTCTAATCCATTTGATCACTATCCAAATTTTATCAATACTTTCAACAATCTCTTGAATCTAACATTCATACCAGATGGT